GAGCACGCGTACCTACTTACTTCATTTGGGTGGCTGCGTCCTCGACCTGCTGTATATGCACTAGTGGTGGGATTGACAGCAATAGATGTCTGTTGATCCTTTTTAGGGCTCCAATTTTCTTCAACAACCGGTTCGCACCATCAACTTCTTTGAGGCGCGGCATTTGTGCAACCAAGTGAACAAAAAAGTTTGGAACTGTGTTCAATCATCGCAGTATCGGCTTGTTCCAAGGCCTTTTCGTACCCGTGGATGGAGGATTGATACACGTGGGTGGCCGAGAAGAAACCAGACGTAAGTCATCGAATCTCTCCAGAAAGAAACCATAACAGGCCATATCATGTACTGACAGAGTCTTGTGCTATTCGTGCTACCCTGAGGGCATTCGAAGAGCAGACCCAGAGTATTGGAGCAGGCCCATGCCACCAGATCAGATTTATCCCGAATCCAGAGACTTGGAACCCCAGGGTATTCAGGGGCCCTTGTAAGATTTACAGGCTTGGAAAGATCCCGGGAAATCGGCTGTCTCCCCCGGTCGATGCGAAAAAATGATTCCACAGAAGCCATCAGATCCAATCATGCCAAGACACCCAGTGTCACTAGTCCAGACTGCCATGTCTTATTCGTCTGGTCAGATGAACCACCTCTGACCAAGAATCCGGCACTTCAAAGCCTGTGCCTCTAGTGATCAATTGCGATCGTCGCTGTCAGCTCGGATCCAAGTCTACTGCATAAGTCTCAGCGAGGAACCGTAGATGGTGCTACATAAAGTCCACTATCCAAGATGGCTTCTCGTTAAAGTACCTTGTCTGCTATCCTTTAGGTACGATGACTTCATCATAGACCATGAGCTCCCTGGTATTTACCAGAAAGCAACGAAATGGTGCCCTATTCAGTTCAGGCCCCTTCTTTCGCAAGGTTCGACAGGAAAGGAAGCCACCTTGCGCCACCACGCGTTCTACTGCCGACGCACTTTCGAACAAAGACGGCAACCAAGCATCCGTCGACCGTTCCTAACGCCAAGGCATGGGCCAATCGGCTTGCTTTGTTTCGGCCCGCTACGTAGATAAACAATGTCAGTCGAAAGTTCGCGGCTCAAGCGCAATTCTAACTTGCCGTGACGCTGACCACAAAGGGCCTCGGGCCGGTATTATTGGATATTGGCGTACAGGCGTCATCAGTAAAATGCTACGTGGCCTATATCACATTATTAGTCGCCGATCAACAGGGTGTTCCAATGGTCCAAACCATGATGAGTTACGAGTATGATGTTTTTCAATGTGACCTTATTGTAAATCCGGCATCTAACCACAACGCCACTTATGACAGACTCTTGCCAAAACCGGTGCTTCTCTACCTTATATAATCAAGATTTCGGTCGAGGCCGAAAGATGATGGGACGGGGCCCTTGCCGCTCATTTGTCTTCCATAGCCATTTCCAAATACCTTTGGCTCGCTGACAACACTTGAATATTCCATGTGACGGCCGATTTCAAACTTACGACCTCATTATCAATTTATAACCTCCTGTGTTTCCAAGACATAAAACTCCGGCTGGCATAACAACTTCTAATATAGGGATGTGTGGTGTCTACTTAGGTAGATGTAGCTTACGTGTCTCGAAGACTTCTCACGTGAAGCCAGAAGCACACATTTACCGTGACACGATAGCACCTTGGCATGCCAAACATCAAGACTTCAACGTTCTCAGCCCTCCAAAACTTCATGTTTAGTTTGGTGCTTCATGCTTCACACCATGTTCTACTAGACTAGATCCCTTTTCGAATGATCAAAAGGGTAGAAAGTCAGAGGCTTTGGTATTTCTCGCAGGAAGCACCCTAGTTGCAAGACACTGTCATGGGAAACCCTCTAAGATCGATGGCAACTGATCGTAGGCCTTCTCAATTTGTGGCATACCGTGCCAATTGACGCTTGCTATATGATTCTTTAGCTCCTGCTGGCTACATACTAATCACGGCAACCATAACTGACAGATGAATAATGAATACCCTCTTTAAAGCATCATCAGACTTTTGTCCCTTTGATGAGTCTGTGCCAGGACATCACTTCATCGGATGCTTCACAAAGCCATTCGATTACATATGGTGAACGACAACAAACCTTACATGTAGCAACCCTGGAATCATGGATAGAATCTTGGGTTCAAAATACTGAGTTGATGAAATTCCATGTAACAGAGCCTTACATCCTTTGAAGTTTCTAGCCAGCGTAATCCTCCATTACCGTCACGACATGGAGATATAAAGCGGTCAGAGGCCGAAGAGAGATCAGACCCAGCGGACTGAACAGAGGTGGGATAGCAAACGCTTCCCTATCATCCGTTCGAATAGCTCCAGACCATGCCAGCCGGACTAAAGAGTTCGTCGTCAAGTTCGAGTCAGCAGTCCGTGTCGAGGTAATCGGCAATCATCGACACACTTTTCCACCCGATCTCCTCTCTATCGACCGTTCGATTCTCGCTAGAAGTTGCAAGCTTCGGTAGCCCAATGTTCGGCTCATCGCAGGAGCTGAACCATCGCCGTCACGATAACCCTCTATTTCAACCCAAAAGTTCCGATCGATACAACAATCCGGTAAAAGCTTCTGTCACGGGATACAGGCAAACATAGAAGCCTTACCTCCCGCTCTTAGCTCGCTTCCCGAATGTCTCTCAATCGACTATTGTGGCTGATAGTCTCTGCCGTCTTCGGGATGCCTCATTACCCTCATCCTCTAGACTCTCTCGAGCCGACGGACGCCACATCTCGCCAGCAATAGATTCTTCGTGTCTCTCAACCATGTGGTCGCCGTTGTACGAGCACGTGGCACCGACCCCTGAGGGGCTGAACGGTTTCCTTCCAGAACTTCTTCCGTGGAGAAGAAGAGATTGGCCGCTTGTGTACGAGAACATCTCGGGTGTTCTTGGCGTGTCTTGCGAGAAGGAGGCTTCATCCTTTTTCCTTCTCTTGCTGCCTTGTGTAGTTGTGGCTTGCTGGGAAGTGGTCTGACGGATGATGCTTGGCTTGGGGCCTGGTCACACCTGTATGTTGTGTACGACGCTGAAGGACTTCATGTCTCAGGGCAAGGTAATGGGGCCTCGGGCAGAGGCGGGGCAAATAGTATGGAAATCGGCGATGGTCTCTATTGAGCCGTTTTTGTTTCCAACAAGGCCAATCTTGTTTCTCCCACTTCTCAAACTACTTCGGTCTCCCCGATTGGACAGACAGAGGAGTTTCTACTTACTGACTCGACTGATGGAAGATTGCAGGTATCACGGCATGGAGGGTGGGATACCGAAACTTTCCGTGCCGCTTCGTGGTGAACGCACGACGATCTTCCGGCCGAGACACCGCTCGCATGCCTGGCATGTCGCTCAGCTGGAGCTTTGATGCCTTTCACGTCTGAAGTTTATTGAATCGAATGCTGTCGTCCTACGTCGCTCTGCCAAGGTGTCACTATCCCGGTGAACCGACTGGGGCCACGGTTGAACTCCCGAACACGTCAGAAAGATCGTCAGGGGCAGGCAAGAGCTTTTTTGGTCCAGCGTAACTGTTTCGAGATATGTCGATTTTGTATCTCGTGGTGTTTCCGGATCTGTATTGCCCACGGCCTTGGCTGTTCTACGGCCAACGTTGTTACTGCGCGGCGGCCGCACAGTATTATTTCTGATATCCCGCGGAGTTACAAGCCTATAAGGATAGTATTTCTAGAAGTACGACAGTCAATAGACCGGGTATATAGAATAGATCAACAAATTGATGCAATCGCCCTTCGTACCCGGACCCATACCACGCAATCCATGTCGGACACAGAGATTTACCTAGCCGCGGGAGAGATTAGGTCGACCCCAGGGCCCAGCTTCTCATCATAGCACTGAGCACACGGCACGAAGAGTCTATCACAGCCCTTATTCTGCCGAATCGCGTATCATTTCGATGGAAACGGGTCCCAGAAGGTCGGTCGAAATGCATAATGCAGGTCTGCCAGCGCGTTCTGCTCTGAGGGGCTACCCCCTTACCCTCCTCGGGTGTGCAAAGGTAGCTCCGAGCGCATGTCTCGGACGGGAAACGAGGCCAATATTTCCTTCCTTCTGTTCGACGGCGGCGATATGCATCTGCACTATGCCACGCGGGCGTCGTCGGCGGCAGGTAGGTGCCGGGTTGTCTTTGCGTGTGATGCTGAGACATTGCCTCGTGGGAAGAGGCCCACGAGAGCTGTGTGTGAGGGGCAGGGCGTTGATGCTCTGATGTTGACATGTTTGTAAATGAGTGGTGGCTTTTACGAAGATTTCGGAGTGCTCGCTCATGGAGAAGAAGGCCATCAACTCAGGGCAGGAGATTGAGCACTTTGCCCACCTTCAACAACGGCAATGACATAGACTGCTTATCGATAAAGACTCGACTTTTAGTTCAACATATGAGTTTCTGGCTTTCCGTACGTTCACATGTCGACATCCAATGCCTACGCAGTAGTCTAACTACCTGCGAGGAAGAGAGAAAAACTAGCATTAAAACACTAGTGCAGTGCAACACCACAAGTCGTGCTTGTGCTCACACACTTGACACTTCTCGTGGGGCCGCACAACAAACCATGCGATGTTGCGACATTGAAGCGGTTCCTGGATTCGTCGGAATGCCTCCTCGAGGAAGTATGTGCCACTGGTGGCGCATCGAAGCCTTGGCTAGACGTGCCTTTCTAAGCATCTTGTTGATGTATCTTGTTGTCATGAATAGGAGTTAGCAGTGGATTAAGCTGAAGATGGGAAGAACATCTAGGTGGTTTAGGAAAGGAGTATAAAGAGGCTGGATTCTTGTGAAATGGGGTTAGAAAAAACCTCAGAGACATCACTTGGATCACTACATTATAGCAACGGCTACTTTCTGACACTTGCACTCTCATCATCTTCAGACACTCGCTGAAGGACAACAACAACAACCCCGAGGCATTCAACTTGAAGAATACTCAAAGCAAAGAATTCCTCTGAACACTTTACACAAGACAAGATGGGCAAGCATACCTCCAAGCAATCTTCCTCGAAGTCCAAGAGTAAGAACATCAAGATCCCCAAACCTTGAAGACTATAGCTAAACGAACCCCCACCAACCAGGCTCCGGCAGCAGGCCATCCAACGGGAATAGCTCCTCCTCGTCCAGCACCGTGCCGGTCGACCGACCGTGGCAGGACGCATCGCTCCACAGAAGCCAAACGACGGCAACGACCACGGGGAGCCCCGGCAGTTTGTTGGGAAGGTGGCTGACGGAGCCGGCTCACCAGGGACCGTTCAACACGATCGCCGAGGTGCCGGCGGCCGGATCGGCGGCGGGGCATATTGACGGACGGCAGGGATCCGGGGCCTCGGCGACGTGTGCCACGTCCCAGCAGCAGCCGCGCTGAATTATGACATTTCAAAGTAGAGATTTCTACTCTGGCTATGGAACTGACCGATATTCTTGTTGTTTGGAGAGTTTCGCCATATGATCTAGGCTTCTTGTTTTCTCTTCTGTCGCTACATTCTTCACTTGAATAGACTTAGATGCACTTGCAATTAACATCTTCTCCCGCGATGAATTGGGAGAGCCTCTCCAATCTCTTACCCCACGCGTCATCGTGGAGATGAAGGGGTCCAGAATCCGTGCGCGAATTGTCAGAGGATATAGAGGGCTATGACTGGCTTGGTGTCATGGCTTGACGATGAAGTTGGATGGTGGCTTGGTATTTTCAGAAGCTAGTGGTCCGGATCACAGGTCTGCAAACTGCGAGGAACTCTGAGAGATTGAGGCCAAGGTGGCTGAGAATGGCGGCCATACCAAGCTCTGATTAGCGCCATCAGCCCCAACCAAGGTCATGCAGCATTAGTTGCCATTAAGCCATCTGGAAGACTTCCTTGTGCTGTTCCGTCTGAGTTCTGACATCGCCCCCAACGACGAAAGACAGAGTTTCGAATCCGTTCCTAATTCTCATCTTCGGGACCCGCGAACGCAAAGTGCCAAGGGAATCTCGTATTTACTTTTTTCGGTTCTTGCCCTGCCCTTTTCTTGGCTGTTGGCCCTATTCGGCACTCGTTCCCTCGGACGCATCCGGACAAGCGTGCCGAGCCCAACGGCGCAGCTTGGCAAGGCCCCCAAGGACCCAAAGCACAGATGGAGACGTCATGCAAGTTGCAACTTGCCGCTGGCCCCTCCGCAGGCGGGCCAAGAGGTTTAGAAGCACTTGAAAAGTCTCTCGAGGCTCGAGAGAGAGGTTGGCCAGAAAGATGCGGAATGATGGGGGATTGGAGTTAACAGAATACCCGGGCAATTGTGAGGGTGTGTGATGCTCGACGCGTGGGACTTATGGATTCGATAGTCTGGAGTTTGAGTATCATGTCTGGATTTTGGCGAGATTGGAGAGTTGCAACGGTGGTCGAAAGCTGACTGAGAGCCGAATTATTTTTGGGGGTGGGCGAGGAATTGTCCGGGGTTCAATTTCCCTATGCTCGCATTCAATGCGCGCCTACTGAGGAAGCTGTGGGATACACGGACAGACGCTTCCCAACTTATGTAAGCGGGTATAAATCGACAAGATGAGGTCAGCAAGATACGCAAGATACGTACTCTGTGTCTGGTGTTTCTTTACTCCGTACTCCGTACTCTCACTCTCACTCTCATTCTGGCTCATCTGCCTCACTTCGTACCTCTTTTACCTGACTCTCTTCAAGTCTCAACCCATCTGAATTGCTTGACTGGTCTAGGCTAGCCTGTATCCACCCTTCCCTGTCGGGGAGGGACAGCAAAAAGCATAAGCATAAAAGCAGAAATGAGACGGGCAGCCTACATGACGTCAAGCCCCGAAATCAGAAAGCCGCCATACTCAGTAAGCTTTGACCGAAATTAATTGGCAGCGGACGATGGGCACTGTTTTTGGTTTCATGCAAAATGAGTTTTCTCCAAAGTGTTCACGGTGCTTAGAGTGCTTGTGTTTCCCCAGGTTCACCCCCAAAGCAAGCTCAAACCAGAATAGCGCGACCATCGAGTCTAAAGAGGAGGAAGGGAAAATCCTTCGAGGTAACAGATCTCCAAGGTGCACCAACCGCCTATCTACCTATGTTTTGCGTTGAGATCGCTTCGCTTCGTCTTCACCATTGTCGGCCCCTTCTCCACGTGGATACGCCTCAGTAGAGAGGGTCGAGAGTCCACCCCTTTTGCGCCTCAGTTTCAGTAATTTTTGAGTGTTCCGGCAGGGAGGATGGCACGACGGCTAGACGGACGACACTGTACGGAAAATTGTGTGCGGTAGTTGGACGGTGGAGAAGGGGCTTCAAGGGGCGATTATTTTGTTTATTTGCAAGGGGCAGCAAGGAACACAGCGACGAGAATGTCACCGAATGATTGACTGAGAAGTGTTTGCAGGACGCGCTGATCGCTGGACGCAGGGCCGCTGAGACAGAGAAACGAGTGTTTGGGTCCCAGAAGATCCTCTCTTTGAGTCTCCAAGGTCTCCTCTCATGCTCTGGCGTCAATCGGTCTCTGACTTCCGCTCCCGCTTTCTGCAGAGTTCCCAATTCATTTGTTCTCGACCAGTCCACTTCGTCCCTGACGAGCGTTCCTCCACAAAATTCCTGCAGAAAGATTGGAAAAGCGAAAGACCGGATGGGCATAGCGCGCCCCTCCTCACGCGTAACCCAGCCACCCCCTGCACCACTTGACTCTTTCCGTCTTGCCGTCTTGTTACCTTAGGTACTCTATTGTCTCGAGTAAGAGACGGAGGGGGAACCCCAAAACGGAGGCTCCAGCCAAACGACATAACGGTTGTGAGCTAACAAGCTAAGTATGAGCTGGAGGTTGGCGCACCTCTTCAGCTTCTGTTATTGACGCCTCGTGCAACACGCGCGACACCTTTGTGACCGGGGCCTTTGTTCCCGTCCTAGACACCTAGATTGTGTTTACCAACGTATTGTCCGCGTTTTTGCAACCACAAAGAAGACTGAGGTGGCAGGGAAGGCAGTTGACAGGACAGCAAGCCATGAGAACGCCTTGTGCCGCAGAGGTGCCGCGATGGTGTCTTCGATTAGCCAAGCCCTTCTATTGTACGGATGGCTGGCTCTGCCGTAGAATGTGCCCAGCTCGCTCGGCCGGCCCGGGTAGCTCAACTTTTTAGCTGGCGCTGCACTGCCTGGTTTGTGCACTTCCATCATCGATATTGGGTGCCAAGGGGCCAATCGGTCAGAGATATACGCGGCAAGGTCAGTGAGTTGATGAGCATCACGGACTCCCGTGTTGCGTGCATCAGCTGCAGGAAGTGTCAGCAACACGACCTACTCCGTACGTGAGAGTGAGAATAATAATGAGAGTAAGATAGATCCCGAAGACCGCTGACAACAACAAGTTCAGTAGAAGAAAAAGCCAGCATCCAAGGTGTGACCGAGCCTTCCGAGCCACAGCGGGACGACTCCCCATGGAGATTCCACCATTCAGACTCCCATGGATACGGTACGAACACTCCGTACAGAATACGGAGGGTTGTCAACCCAGCAGAGGAGGGGAGCCACAACCTAAACCTGAAGATGCAGCAACCCTTGTCCCGCCCTCGATCAGGGACCGGACTGCTTTTCGCAGCTCGCTAGAGGGGAAACGCTGGTCAAGCTGGAACCCCGGACCCAGTTTCTGACCCAGCCAGTGGCCACCGGTCCGTCGAGTTGACGAGGAAGCCCGTCGTTCCCGCAGCGCTTCCCTTGCTTTCAGCGTAGCAAGGCCCCGGTGATCGTTAGTGTTTCCCCTCTTGGGCCCGTCGACAGTGTGTGTTGTCACTGTGGTTGGGGCCAAGTTTTATGTTGTCCGTCGAGTGTGGTGCTGCACTGAGATGTGGAAGTGGTGGTGCCGTGGATGATGGGATGGATGAAGGATGGGGGGGATGCAGGTGCTGTTTAGCCGTTTGCTGGGGCTGGCGCTTCTACATCGGCAGGTTAGGAGATGCCGGGAAATGTACTTGGAGTCACATACTGAAAGTGGTGGCAACAGAGGTACCATCCCCTGGGTCGTACCATCCCATCGATCCATCGCCCGTCCTTGGCCGGGTGTCTTACCGCGCATTTCTTGCTTTTTTGTCCTGTCGATTTCTCCCAATTGCCCATGGCCCATCGGCTCTGCCATCCAAATTCAGTCCCGTCATCAATTCTCCGTTTCTCTCATCTTGTCTCCTTCTCACCACCTTTCCTCCCTTCCGCTTCCTTTTCCTATCCGTCACCTTCACTTTCGCCAAATCATCGACACATTTCAATCAACCACGACCAACCCGGCCCCAGTCTCCTTCACCTCTCCCCTTCCCTTCTCCCGTCCATCTCTCTCCACACATTCGCTTCGTCGCCACCCAAAGGAGGATCCTCGAACCCATCCGCCGTGCCGACCAACATCGTCAAGCTTCACAGAATAGAAATCCGCTTCCCGATTATCGTCACTCGCTTGCACCACCTCGCCCCTGGCTGACCGACGTACAAACGACGAAGGATCCAAACCACAGTCCACTGAAACGTCGCTTTCAAGACCCATCCTACGTATACGAGAATCTCGCTTCCTCCTAATACATACGCCCCATCCTCCGAAGCCCGAGCCGACCGAACGCTGGTGACAAACACCCGCAATCGTTAGAATCCACGCTTCCTCGACGTGACGAATCGAACATCGAAAACGTCAGAAAGGCTCGCATACCCACGGAAATCTCTTCCGGGAATTTTCAGACTTGGCTTTCCTGCATCCAAACGAACATTACGACGCTTTGAAGCAATCTGTGCGGCAGAACCTGGGACGGCAGCTGGACCTGGCTCTACCTCGACCGACTTGGGACGAAATCCGCACGCTGACGTGCATATCCGCCAACGGCATTGTTCATCACCGTGGATTTTTCGCTGCGACCAAACTAAATCATCGAATTCGCCGCCGCCAACGGTGCATCGCATTCCTCTCTTGCCGCCAATCTTCTGGGCTTGACTCGCTGGATTGTGGCTCAATTTCGCACTCGTGCCACCCGACGTGTCTTGGACCACCGCAATAAGGAGGAAATACCACCATCGATTGCTTCCAACGTCTCCGCATTCCAACGACTTGTTTTGGCCGCAACGGCTGACAGGTTACTTACTTCCCTCCGAAATCCTTCTCCTTTTTCCATCTTGAACGCTCCGTCTCTTCCCTTTCCCTCCAACAATTCGCCAACACCGTCAAGATGTGTAAGTGACAGTTCACCAATTTACAACGATGGCCCATTGACTAAACATGATGCAGCTGGCCTTTCAACAACGATTATGCCCTTTGCGCAGTTGCCCGCGTGCGCTGTGAACTGTGGCCCCCTCTACGACGCCAACGGCGCCTGCGTTCCTCCTGCCGTTGCGGCAGCTGACGCCAACACCTACGACAGGTGTTTCTGCAGCCAAGGCGCTCTCCAGGCCTTCTCAACAGCCGCCGGCGGTGTCTGCCCTGCTGCTGGGTGTGATGACGCTGGCTTCAGCAGTATCCAGGGATGGTACACCTCATTTTGTAATTCCGTGACTGGCGGCGCTGCCACTGCATCTTCGTCATCAGCAGGATCGACCTCAACAAGTGGAGCTTCAAAGGGAACCAACAGTGGAAATGGAGGCGATTGGTAAGACGATCCCAGAGCCTTGTATACCCAGCCATTGCTAACCAAACAATCAGGCTTTCCAACCACTGGAGATGGGTCGTCATGCTTGTAATCCTCGTTGTCGCCATCGCTGGCATCTGGGTTGGCGCCTGCATCTGGCGCCGACGCTACCTCCGCCGCAAGGACCGCATGTACGAACTTGGCAAGCACGCACACAAGGGACCCAGCGGCATCATTGCTGGTTCTGGTGTCAATGTTAACCAAGCTGGTATCGTCAACTCCCCCGGCCAGTTCATGGCCGGCCCGCCGCCGGCCGTATACGATGAGAAGCCCCCCAAGGAAAAGAAGAAGTGGGTTGTCAACGAGCGGACATAGAAGTGCATCTTCAGTAGACATGTGCGGCATCACTCTTCATCACAATCTCTCAACGGCTTAACGAGACGGCGTTCACATTATCTTTATGGCATCGGTGTTTGTACATTCACACATACTTGTTCCTAGGCAATACTTCCTTTGCTCTTTTCTCCTTTGGTCATCGATTAGGCGTACGGCTGGAAACAATGGAGGACTCTTGTCGTTGGACACAATCAGCATTGGTGGTCCTGATACTTGACAGTGACACCTCGCAATCAAAAGGGTGGGTTTGAAGGGAGCGAAACAGGCCGATGGCAGGAGACCCCCGGTCTCGCAACTGCGTAACAGAAGCGGCCTGTTTCCTTGGGAGGGCGTCTTTCGAAGATGAGCCCGGAAAGCGGGAGGACTCGCGTGATCAGCTTAGCATCATCCAAAACCAAATGGTAATTTCTTATACCTGTTCACACAATCACAGCCACTGAAACGCTTTACAAGTGAAGGCACCAATACTTTGTTTTGTAACTGTAACTGACTCGATGCCGATAAGCCGCGTTTTTTGCGTAAATTTTCGATACCTTGCTAGAGTGGTGTTATCCACATTCATGAGGCTTGTCTGAGCGGGTCGATCAAACCGGTCTGCCATGTGGGTGCAGAGGTCCTGGCACCTGCAGGATGTTTCGCAGGTGTTACTGTGGATGTTTTCAACCAGTATCCTTTGTGATTGCCAGAGTAATCCATCGTATGTTGAAGTTTATGTGTGTGATGTTGAGATGTTGGCCGTCAAACTTTGAACCTTGCTGTACATCAGCTCTATACACTAAATTGTCCAAGCCTTGATACCCAATTCAAGGGTTCACTCAATGCCACTTATTGCCGTTCGATAAGGTAGGTCGAGGAAGTCAGGTCAGATGCAGTTTGCTGGGGAATGGACTTCGCAATGAACAACAGCTTGGGGGGGACAGGACCTATCACGAGATCCCTCTGGAGCGGCAATATGCATACATTGTAGACTCATCATATCTTACCAGGTCGAATTCGGCCATTTCTTCATTGAAATGGCCGTCAGTTGAGGTTTTGAGAGAGCCTTTTGGCTACAGTGTTTCCTTAAATGCACGTCAACGTGGAAGGAGAGAGGGGGGAGGGGCGCTCTTCCAACCACACGAGTGTATAGAACCTAACCTCACTCACTCGGGATGTTAAACTTCATAGGTACATGTGTCTACACATGGCAAGCATTCAAACCTCATGCATGATTTGCAGGTGAACGCCTTGGGAAGTGACAATTTGACAGGAGGACTTTTGGGGATACAGTAGATCTTGATCGAGCCTTTTCCCTCGCTCAACCAACCCAAGGAAGTATCCGCACCGCCAACTTCTAGCCCGAGGGCTCTCCCATCACCATCTTTCCAAGCCATGGCTAAGACCTAGTCTTCGCAACAACATGAGTAACCTCAACCTAACTATGGTTGAATACTCTCACTTGCCTCTGTCGAGGAAAGAGACATGAGCGCCGACTCAACGCCTACCGGCACCGCAAACAGACACTAGAACAACGCTGCATCATATTCCACACGCGTCAATAGGCTGACAGAAGGTACATCAAACTCGATGCAGCAAGTCCATCTGACCTCTCATCACAAAAGTTCAATCGGCTCCGATTATCAAATAATCCCCGACAGGCGGGACGTCCCCAAGCTCTCAGCTCCCCCAGCTACCAACGCACAGACACCAGCCTCCATCTACATGTCTTGAAATACATGACATGTACATAATCTCAAGCAGTTCGACTCCCCTTCTCTGCTTTCACATAACCTGACTCTATCAACATCGTTCCAACGATCACCTATCGCACACTCTCATCACAACAATGGCCGAAGTACCAAAACCCACAAACACAACTCCCACCGAGAGCTTGCCAGCCCACCGCCTCCCCACAGACAAAGACACAAACTCCCCCTTCTGGACCGAGAGGCTTCCCCCTCTCGAAGAACACACAAAGAAGCTCTTTGTAGAATACGCTAGAATCCCGGAAGATGAACTCCAGAAGCATCTCGAAGAAGCTGTAAGCGCTTTCTCATTCACCCGCTTTATTCATCTCTTACCCCCCCGAAAAGTATCATCGCCACAGCACTAATACTGACGTATGAAATTCTGCCTCCAGCGCAAGAAGGCATGGAACGACTGCCCTTACCCATGCATAGGCCTCTGGCTCTTCCTCAAGCTCCAACTCAGGAATAACAAGGAGTTCGACGAGGCCGTAAAGCGTACCCAACAAGGCGAGAAGTTACTCGACTTTGGATGTGCCATTGGCCAGGATCTACGTAGTCTGGTACGCTTCCCCCTTCTCTCTTTCCCTTATCTTGCCCCCCCCCTTCTCATGCTTGACTTTTTATGGCTGTGTACAACTCCAACATCACCCCCATGAATCAAACCTGGGCTGAGTCTCCTAACTACTCCGCACAACCAACTTACACACGCCCTCAGGCCCACTCAGGTTCTCCCCCAAACTCCCTGTACGGCATAGACCTCGTCCCCTCCTTCTTCTCCGCCGGGAAATCCCTCTTCAACGACCCTTCCACGCCCATAACATTCCTCCAAGCAAACGCCCTCTCCTCCCCTCCACCCCTGCCCGAATGGCACGGCCAATTCTCCATCATCACAGCAAACTATGTCTAGTACTGCTTTGACATCTAAGATTAAGAGATATTTGCTACTTTGCTTCTGACTTTACTATCGGGAAAACTAAATGATCTAATCTTTGGCCGTACGGCGGGGACGACGGAAGGCGAGGCAAGGAGGGAGGAAATGCATAAAGGCCAGAGGCTGTATCGGCACACGGAGAGGAGTTTTGTCGACTTTTGGACGAGGATGGCGGCTGAGAGGGGGAGGAGGGTGAGGGTTGAGACGTGGATTGATGAACTTCCTGCTTTTGAGCTTAGGGGGAAGGGGATGGAGAGATTTGAACCTGTGAAGAATCTCATGTATTCGATTCGATTCGATTGAGGTGTGGTTGGTTGGTTGGTTGTTCGAGGGCGTAAAGGAAGAGCCAATTGCTGCTCATGCACTGGAACAACTTGACATCTTCAGGTGTGATGAAAACAACGAGCAAGAAAGCTAGGTGAAACCATGCTAGGTTATTAATGCAGTCTATCTATATACCATTAAACGCGTGTCGTGTTCGGATCCAAAAATCAACAAAGTTCAAACTGCTTTTGATCGGGCCCAGGGTGTCTTCTCTGCATCATCTGCGTGGAAACTCTCAAAGCGCCTAACTAATTTGAATACGGTCCCCAGTAGGAGTTATTAGTTTTCGCAACGTCGAATCATTTACTTGGTCCTTACAGGTAAGGCGATCTTGGCTTTGTCGCTTTGCTCCTCAGCCGCATCCATGTACAAGTCAATCAGACAACCGGCAGACCATGCCTGGGTGGGACACTGTGATGTGTTAGCAATCAATTCACCGCCTACGATAAAAGACAACTTACGGAGTCGGGGCAGTCTTCGCCATCCTTTTGCGTGAGTTCAGCGAGGCCGGCCCAAACGCTTTCCTTAATCATTTGCTTGCAGCCCATAAGTCTCCGCGTGACTTGCTGGAAGGCCTCAATGCGCCCAGCCTGGTCACCTCTTCTAGCGAGGTCGAACTTGAGGAGAGCGCGAAGGAAGAAACCAGTGGGCCAGAGCCATTCCGGGCCCTGGTGGTAGTTTCGTCCCTTGCTAGTGGCGAAGTCCTCACTGTCTTCGCTATTGCGGTAGTAGGGCCTGTAGTTGAGATCGGCAGGGTCGAGAGTTGCCATGCCTGTGGGTCCACGAATGGCTTTGTCGGCAACCAAGAGGGCGTGCAGCGCATGCGCAGGATCGAAGAGCTCGGGTGCCGCGCACATGGCGATGGGGAAGTTGGCACGCAGTTGGTAGTCTTCGTACTCCTTGCCGGACTTGTACAAGTCCTTGTAGATACCGCGGCGATTAATAACCTGGGCGTTGACATCGTACTTGGCGTCTTCCTCGGCAGAAAGAGGAACCCAGTAGCATCGCTCAAAGTTGTCGCGAATCAGGTTGGCCCACTCCCTCAGAGAAATGGTCGACTCGTCTGCCTTCTTCACGGATGAATACTGGTACTTGCCTTGCTGGTTGAGCGATGCCACCCACTTCAGAGTGCTGTATAGAAGACCAGTGATCTCAATGGCGGCGCCATCACGGGGTGTACCGGGAACACCCTTGGATCCGGCCTTTTCGCTCTCGCCCATCTTGTCCATCCATGTGCCGCAGTTGTTCTGGTTACCACCAAAGATGATACCAGTGTCCCAGTCAGTCTTGATGGAAATGTTAAAACCATTGTCACTCATCTGCGAATCGATCGAGGGACCGGCATTGGCCTCGCGGAAAGACATGCCAGATGCGTGCCTCTGCAGCGCTTCCTGAATGATATCCTCGATGGTGCTCTCCTGGGAATAGGTGCGAGAGTCATCGACATCGAACCAGGTGTCATCGTAAGGTAGGAAGCGTCTCTTGACCTTCTCCTGGAGCAAGTCTAATCCATTGGGCGCGAACTTGGTGTAGTCTTGGATACATTGGAGGAAGAACCAGATGGAGTCGCGAGAGTTGTAACGCGGCAAAGCTCCACTGCTAAGCAGGTTGGGGATCATGCCGTGCTTGAGTACACTAGCAAAGGCTAGTATGTGCTCCTTTGCCTCGTCAAAGCGGCCAGTGCCAAGGTAGAGACCACGGAGTGAGATGAAGACATCGCGTCCCCAGCATCTCGCCCATTCGACGGCGAAGTGAGGCAAACCAGCAGCCAATGACGGGACCAGCTTCTTGGGCCACAAAGAGCCAGATTTGACCAGGCCAGTCTCTTGTACGCTGACCATGGCGAGACTCTGGAGGAACCACTGTCCTTCGCGGACGTTCTCGTTCATCAGCTCGAGACCGCGCTCCCATGAAGCAGTGTACAAGGTACGCAGTACGAGGCCGAAGTACCTCGGCAGCAAGAAGCTGGGGATCTTGCGAATGGCATCGAACCGCTCCTTCAGCCAAACCGCGGGCTTCTCAAGGTTCTCGAAGTCAGGAGTCTTGCTAATGCGCTCCAGACGACCGACAATGTAATCCAGAGCCCACTGGCCGTCCCGAAGATTCTGGCAAAGAGGATGAGCCAGGTTGTTGTCTCGGATGATATCCTTGAGAAGACTCCACCATCCCTGAAGACCAGCATAGACGAGCTTTCCATAGCTAGGAATCTCGTAGCAGCCGTCGTTGCCACCGCTTCCATCACGTTCCTCGGCCTCACACCTGTAGAGCAGGAAGTTGAGGTCCACCAGGTTCAGGTTCTCAACGGCAGACCTGGCACCTGAAGTGACGTAGTTGTCGAGACCCGATGAGTGCTCGGCTGCCGGGATCCAGGTCTCGAAGAGGGCAATACTACCAGGAGGGAACTTGTCGCGCACGGTAATGATGGTATCGTCGCCCTTGACCTCCATGCGAACGCCGGGGACATCCACGACGCGGCTAGGCAGGCCACGCAGCAGCTTCTTATCGTCCAAGGCCTCCTTGCGAGCTTCATCGCTTGCATCTACCTCGAGCATCCAGCTACCGAGATGACGGGCTTTGGTTCCTCCGAGGTGTACAGCATTGAAAGCGCCGTTGCCGTTGCCGTAGCCAGGGAAAGCAGTATGGGCAATCAGGAAGTATCCCTTTCTTGACTCGGGGTGGACTCTGTGCACGGTGATGTACTGATCCTCATGGTGGATGTGAGTCTCGTCGTATCCGTCCTTGCCCATGAGGGTATGGATCTGGTTCAAGAGTTTCTTGATGCCACCGATGCCGTTTCCGCCACCGCCAATCTTAACAGGCTTGGAAGATGACTCGGACGTGTACAGTCTGGTCTCGTTGACGAGGTCAACGAGCTTGGGGTAGATCTCATCATAACCCATGACACTGCCAGTTGCACTGGCGCACATGTTGACAAGAGCAGCGTTCGGGAGCGTGTCGCGAGCATCACGCTTCTGAGCCGGGGTCTCGTTGTCGTGAGTGCAGTCCATGAAAAGAGCCTGAACTGGCACAGGCTTGATCCTCCGGATGATCTCCCTTGAGGACGGGCTGCTCCCGTTGAGCATGTCGCTGCCTTCATTGGCCGGGCTCATAGGGCTCATAGGAGACTTAGGGTCTGCCTTTGAAATCTCGTCAACCTCGAAGCTTCCAATGGGACGGCCGCCGTGCTTATGAACCAGGCGACTGAGCTCTCCGGTACTCCACGCTTGCATGGCCTCGCGGATCAAAGCACTCAGACCAAGCCTCTTCACGAAGACATAGTCCATCTCCTCGGAGCCAGAGAACAACTCTGCCACGACGTACAGATCCGGTCGGACTCGGCGTGCCTCGTCGAGAATGTGCTCGGCGACATGGATTGGCGTAGAGTGGCAGTTGTCAATGCGGAAACCAGCAAAGTACTTGGCGAGCATACGGGCATACTTCGTCATGAACTCCCACAGGAAAGGACTGTCTGAAGGGCTCTTGCCATAGCGGAGCTTGACACAATCGCCCCAGACAATGACCTCGCGCCTCAGGTACACGCGAGAATCCGGGCCGGCGTTGTCGACCAAGGCGTTGCCACCCCAGACCCAGCCGTTGTTGACCAGAACATTCTCCTCGGGCTTGTTCTTGGCCGTGGTGTCGTTCTTTGGCAGACGGGTAAAGTAGGTCTCAATGAGAGGGAATTCCTTGTTGATGGGGCCCATGCGCGGGCCATGCTCATCAAGTCGGCAGTATTTGATACGGTTGAAGAGCTGCTCTAGGATCTCGCTGAGTTCGTTATCGTACTCCTTGTAGAACGGGAGATTGATTTCATCGAGAATCGAAACCAACTTTGACTTTGCTGCCGCCTTTGTCGGGCCGCTGCCCTCCTCACCCTCATAGCGTCCAAAAACGGTGGAGAGAAGTCCAGAAGCCACCTTGGGGTCGACTTTTCTTCTGAACCTTTCGCCCATGCGGTCACCACCCTGGAGGCCGTTCTTGATGAGAAACTCAGCCTGGTCTTTGAGAGAGGCATCTCTCAGTCCAGTCACATTTGCATCGCCAGTGGTATCTTGCGGCAGCGTGGTGCTGCCGGCAACCCAAGCTTCTAGGCCAGCCTCAACATCGCGCTCGACGTCAATGGCGTAGTATTCCCACAGACGAATCTCAGAGATTACCTGCTTTTTGATGGCGTCCATAATCTTGATGAGGTCATCGTTGCTCTTCACCTCGGTGGGGAGTCCAAGCTTCTCAAGGTTATCGCTAAGCTCCAGCAGCTTCGAATCCAGCAGCCACGCCGACTCGAGCCAAGGTGCTGTAACCAGGTTGTATCCAGCGTCTGGGTGGTCTTGTAGCCATGCAGTGTTGTGTGCCGTGTGATTAAGGACAATATCGGTGAGACTGAGGAGGGAATACTGTTTTTCCAAGCTCTCCACTAGGCCCTTGATGTCCTTCTCGCCGGCAGGAAAGCATTCGGGGTCCCAGCCCAATTGATCGTACAAGCTGTAGGGGGAATTGGAAGCACCGCGAACCTGCAGCGGGGTGAAGTGAATCATGTTGTAACCGCGATCGCTAATGCCACGGAGATGCTTTTCCCAGTCGCCCGGGTATTTGCCCATAAACTTGCTAATGACTGAAAAGATGGACAGAGCGGGCAATGGCAGCGGGCGGCC